ACAGGAGCGGGGAGAGCGCCGAGCCCTGGGGGACTCCTGCGCTAATTGGATGCTCCGCAGATAAAGCGTGCCCAATGCGTGCTTTAAACGTGCGGGAATCCAGGAAAGATTGGATGAGCTGCACCATCGCCTACGGCACGCCTGCTTGGTGAAGCTTGTAAACAAGTCCATCATGCCAGACGGTGTCGAAAGCCTTCGCAACGTCGAGGAACACCGCGCCAGTCAATTGTTTCCATTCAATTGATTTTGCGGCGAATTCGACTACTTGGAGGAGTTGTTCGGAGGTTGAGTGTTGGGGGCGAAAACCGAACTGTTCATCGGGGACTACGCCTCGTTCGTTGACGAACTCAGCTAGCCGTTTCCGAATCACACGTTCAGCGATCTTCCCCACGGAAGAGAGGAGACTGATGGGTCGATGATTTTCCGGAAAAATGTGATTTTTCCCCGGTTTCGGGATGAAAATGACGTGGGCTTCTTTCCACCTAGCTGGAAAAATACGGAATTTAAACATTGCATTAATGATACCTGCTAGTGCGACGATGGCTTCGTCGGAGAGGTTCTTCAATGCTTTGTTCGGGATGCCATCTTGGCCTGGGGCTTTCCTGGGTTTGAGGAGTCGGATGATTTCGCGGATTTCGTCGGGATGGACTTCGCGGATCTGGTCGTCTTCGTCGGGTTCTGCCATTCGAATTTCTTCGACGGTTTCCTCGACGAGGTCCAGGTGCTCGTCATCTGCATCAGGGTCGATGTTCGTCTGACATTGGTTCTCCAGACTGTGAGCGAAGGCGGCGAGTCTCCCGAACCGTGCCACTTTTATAGACTCGCATCGGCTCCGCCCACTAGTTCGGCACGAATCCAGGATTCTCACTGGCTGCAGTGCTTTCGTAGTTTTGATCCGGTAACATTTCAAGAGCACCAGTAAAAGTTGAGACTTCAACGAGAGCTGTGAGATCTTCCAAACTAGTCAAATTGTACATCTTCTAATTACAAGAAAAGAGATTAAAGAGTGCACAGTAAAAAATCCTGAACTTCGCAATATTTACCTTGCAGTCCGTGATGGTGACCGACTGCCAAAGAATTACAAAACGGAATAATTTTCCATACAATCTTTTAGATTCGAATGATGAAAGTACTACACTGAGTACATTCGGTACACGCTGGAGCAGTAAAAATAAAATTGTTGGACCGGAGTTAAGGATGGTCGCCAGATATACGTGCAGATATCAAGAAAACAGCAAAATAATGCATAAGGTATTCTAAAAATCATATTCCAAGCAACCAATTCACCCCTGGAACTTTTTTTGTACGGATTTTGACACAACGTAAAAATGAGGTTGTACGAGATTGATGTGAGCATGATTGCACATCTATTTATTGTAATGAATATGAAAATTAAAATTTGTAGTTGTTATTACTGTGCCAAAGATTCCACAGATTAAAACAAACTTCTCAAGCAACCAGGTATGATCATTTACCTTCAACAACATTTCGCAATTTCCTGTTCAGATAAAATTTTCACTTTTTTGGTCTCTAAACCATCAGACTTTCTTCTCAAAAATAAAAATAATTTACCCAAACTCTGCAAGATGCAATACATACCGTCAAGAATACACTAACACAAGGTAAAATCTAAAATGTCACAAACTTTCAAAGCAAGTTTCAACTCTGAAATCTTGGTCCCCAGCTAGGTGACACTAAGTTGTTAACGAAGCGAATTTTTGCGGCCCGGAAACCGGAACGCGTACTGGGGTGAAGTCGCGATCGCCACCCTGACGCGGCCGGAAAAAAACTACACTTCATAATTAGTACCTATTTCAATAGTGAGGGTGTGAAAAACAGAAACTCTGTAAAACATGTGCGATGCAGAGCCCTGACACCGATGGCCTAAGTACCATTTTGGGTTTTCTGCCCGTTTCTGACTCACCGTCACCGAGCCAGAAAGCCGTACCACCGTCTCCGTTTTTTTGTTAAATATGCGCAAGAAGCCGAAACCGTATCGTCCTCGCCCGATTTCCCTTGCAGAGTCGCTGCCCCCAGGACCAAGAGGAGCCGTCTAAAAAGAAGCCGGCGTCCACGATCCCGAAACGACCGTGCCGGACATTTTGTAATTCTTGATATTGGAAAATTTTATTTTAATTTAGCTGTAAGATTATTTTAGCCGTGTAGCTGGTGGCATGGAAATAAAAAAACTGTTTATTATTCGAAACTTTCCGGAGTATCATTTCTCATTTTCACGTGCGCTCAAGAGACCACCTGGAGATCCGTGTCTCAGGTTTTAGAGCTACCCCAGTACTCCCTTCCTGGAGAGAGAGCTGGTGCCCGAGCACCGCCGCTCCCAACCTAAGGCGACACCTCCGGTAACATGGTAATGACCACATAGCCTAGGTCGGCCAGACGTGTTTGTTTTCAGCGGTACTAGTTGGCCCAGGGCTTAACACTGAGGTACGCCACCCCCACGCAATATCGATGGAACTCTGGACCGTCACCAACACGCCGCCCCCGGAGTTTCGTCGCAATATATCACTGATTTCTCTTTCACATAAGTTAGTGTCGTGCTCAAATTAGTTATTGACCGCAACCGAGCATTTGGACACTAACAAAATTATTTATTTTGGTTTAGGCCCATTTCCTAAATTAATTCTAAAAATCCACTACTTAACAAACTCGGTACAATTAAAAATCTGAAACTAAATTTTAGGAGATATTTGATATTTGCGAATCTGCGAAAATTGTTCTTACGTTTGGGGATTGATGGTCGATTCTAAAATAGGGCGGGTAACCTTAATTGGAATAAAACGTTAACAATTTTTAACTTGATAATTAAAAAGTTCCTGACAAAACTCTATTTAAAAAAGTTGTTGAGTTTGATGAGCTCTATAACTCATTAAAATTAATGTACTTATTTCTGAGTCACCCTGTATACAGATTTGGACATGCGTGTTAGGTAATTAAGATTTGTAAATTTGAAAATTTTGTTTTTACGTTGTGGAGATTTATTTTTCATCTTTGTATTGTTTTTTTCTCGTGAACTGACTTCATGACGACCCGTCACACTAGCAATATTTCTTCGTTAACAAATCTTACATTCTTCCTCTTGTGCCACTCTTTGAAACTTCATATTTCTTCTGATATCGACCTTTAGTTTTTTCCTGCGGCAATTGTACGCTTGCTGCACATGATTCTTCTAATATTCCAAACGGAATTTCTAAGTTCTCTTCAATTTCTTCCATAATTATTGTAAAATCACAAGAAATTTTAAAAACTGTGAAAAGTGCGTTTGTTCGGTGTATAAACTGTTCCACGGTAATTGCCACCATGAAGTGGCGAATTTATTTTAAGAAATTACGAAATTACGAAATTTAAAAGTTTGCTCCTCCTTCAGAGACAAGGATAAAATTTGCAGACAGGTATTTGTGAGGTAGTTGATGGGGGCTGATGTTTGTACAGGAACGATAGTGCATTTGGTTTTAATCTTTTTCCATTTTGACAAAAGGAACTTGGTGCAAAATGTTTGCCACATACAAATAGATTCTTTGCAATAGTTCCTTATAAATAAATTCGTTTCTAAAATAAATTCATTAATACCCCCACTTTACCTCCTCAAATCTCATATTTAAATCATTTCTTGATCCAAAAAGAGCAAAGGATTTTACTCCATGGAGATGTGCATTTGGAAATTGGCGGTATTTTGTTTTGGGCAACCAGCATCGCAACCGCAGCATCGCTTTTTCGACATTTTGAACTTGCTTAAAAGGTTACAATTAAGCTTCGAAATGCAAAATAAAAAAAATTCGAAAATTTTACTTGTCAGTGTTAGACAAAACCTGTAACTTATGTGTGACTTCAAAGCCAATGTAACTTTCAATCACAGCGCCATCTCGTAACATTTTTAATTTGGCCGACACACAACCAGACGTTTGATTTGTTTTGCTGTATTTTTTAATTTTGTCTTTAAATTCTATCGAACTATTTTGTTTAGATTCCAATATTAAAATCTTAACTTTTTTCAATTTGTTTCTTGTATCCGTTCATAATTTGTTCCTGTTGTGTTTTTTTAGATAATATTTCCAAGTCTTCTTGTTGTAATTAAACTCATATGAAATTAAATAAACTTGAATATGATGAATAAACAAAAACTCGTTAATACTCTGTAATCACTACCACTGAATCCTCATTAGTTATATTGTTGTACCTACTGAGAATTGAAAAAAACGGTGACACGCGAAGTAAACTTGTAATTATATTCGTAAAAATGACTATATTAAAATACTTCCTTAATACACACGGAAGTAAAAATCTTCTCTTTACGAAAGCTTGTACCCAGAACACAGTAAATACAGCTAAACCTTGTTATAATTTAGTAGAACAAACTCCTCCAACATTATCGAACCTCAAATAAACACAATCGCTCTCAAACTGCACTAATGATAATTGCATTTCTTGTGGGAAATTTCCCATGGTACAGATTATACGGCGGACGTTTATCGGGGAGCAAACTCATCCAGCACTTTCAGTTTTGTACCTACAATGAATTGGTCGATATATTACACGAAGATTCGGAAGTGTCATTTCGTTAAGGAAAAACCCTCTACTATCCTCAATGGATCCAAGAGGATAGCGAAGGACGATGATAATAGTGAGTGAACCGTTATTTACTGTGCAGATTTGGGTAAAGTCTATTGAAACAGAAAATTCGTAGTGCCACTTTCTTGCTGGTGAAGCAAATCGGAGAAATAAAAGTAAACAAAAACATTTTATTTCATGCGCAATATATAAAGACGGACGCCGACGTCTGAAGAATTGTTGACTTAGTTTTATATTCCGAATTCAAAGCAAGCTCTCCTTTATATTTAATTTCTTCTTTGTAGTGTCCCATTTTTGTTTTATTTATTCTTGGACGCGATCGAATGTCGTTTATTTAACCTAGAGCCATCGAAAACGATGGAGTATTAACAAGGATTGAAACTTCTGAGTGGTTAAAGAATTAAAATAAACGAAAATCAATGAAACTGTACTTTATTTAATTTTTTTTTTTACAATTAAAAATAAACAAAATTATAATACTTTATATTACAATAACTATATAAAATCACCGTTTTGAGATATCAAACCCTTTAGAAGGTAATTCAAGAAAAACTTAAGTAAAATACTTTTAATTATATCACAAAAATACTGACTTGATTCTAAAAAGTGCAAATTGTGCTACAATCACTGACTAATTTGCCACAAAACTCTTCTAAACACATGTAAGCAGCAAATAAAAAGAAAAATAACTTAAATTCCCCAAACGAAACAGACACAAAGAAAAAAAGTGAATGTAAATCCACCACCCATTAATAAAAATGACCACGAAAAAGTGAAATAAATTAAGTGTATACAGGTAACTCAATTACAGCCCAATGGAACGAGTGTTTAGAACACCTCCAGATAAATACACTAATGAATACATCTCCATCAAACACACATACAAACATTCTACTTAAGTAATTAGGCACGGGGTAAGGAAAGTGAAGCCTCCTTTAAGAGATGTGCTCTTTCAGATTTGCCTACGTCTTAACCCTACGCCCTCCCTTAACAAAGCCATTCCTTGTCGGTTTGTGGCCATTTCTTGAGTCACTAAACCGAGAATTCTTCGATCTAGATTCAAAAACCACATCGGAGTCGGTATCGCTATCTGATAAAGTTCCCTTGCGTGGTACAACTGGAAAAAATAAAGGTTGTTAGCACCGCATACCTAACTATGAAACTGAAGTTAGTGATACAAATAGCATAGTTAGTAACACAATAATTATACAAATAGCAAATTAAAAAAATATGAACAACCATTATTAAGATAATTAACAAAACCAGATTCTCACTGTTTTCTTTATTAGTGTAAACCCCACACTTTTAGTTTTTCAACATAATTATTCATTTTTCTACTTTGCGTCAATTATGAAACGCATATGCGTTTCACAATAATAACATTTAAATATTTTTATTATAGCACGCAAAACAGTAAGTTTTTCCTTGATTATGTTGGCTATATTATTATGCGGGCAGTCGAAAGGTGGTCGAAAATTGAAACGAAATATCAGTGAACATTGTTAATAATAACTAGCCCAATTGAATGTTTCCATCTATTAGCTCTTTTGTGTTAAATGATCACGAAAATGTTGATTGTTACCAACCGACAGTCGAAAATACCTATTGAAAATAATATTTTTTGAACATTTTTTCAAAATTTATTTACAATGCAAAGTAGAAAAATAGTTTATTACATTCTTTTCATAGGACGACTTGTGGCACTTATTCTATTTGGCCATTCGTGTAATAAGGTAGGAGTACTATTTTAAGACATTAAATCATTATAGAACGTCTTTCCATGTTACTAAACTAGTACAAAATTTTCTAGAATCATGTCAGGAAATTTTGATCCTTGTCCACTTTAGTCTAGCTAAGTGGCTATGGGATTATGAAAACCCGCAAAGAGGAGGCGGACAAGTCTAATATTAACATTCGCTGCTGGGTGCTAGATACCGACAATACTTTTGCGTGCAATCCGTGGTAAGTATAATACCTTCGTCATATTGTAACCTTTCCCACCACAGTGCTTTAGTTTGTTGAATATATACCATTTTTTATACTCCTAATGCAATACTCGATAACTAATTTCTCCCGTTTTTATGTAAGGAATCCTCCAAGATTGTAATTATGATCTTCTACAAGTTCAAGCCGTGTTTGATAAAAATTTCAAGAAAAACTAAGTTGTGGTTTTTAAATGCAACCCGTGTTCTCCTTATAGCTAAAATACACGTAGTCGGAGCCACCTTAAAAAAATTCACAGGAGTTTCTAAATTGTCTGTGTGAAAACGGGTATTTTCTTGATAAAAACCGTATCCCGAGGCTACATTTTTTGTTTGTTTGTTTGTTTCAGTTTTTATACACATTCTATTTATAACAGTTATTTATGATATGAACGTTAAAAGTGAGATTTTATTTTGTGACTGTGGAAGTTCGTTCGTTCCCCAATCACACGAACAAAATAAAATCACTTTTAACATGAATATCATATACAAGTTTTTATATAAACACTGTAAAAAACAACAAAAACGCTTAATTATTATTAATTTTTACAAACAAAATGAACAACATCGGGGTAAATGTGAACAAATTCATAGAAACTCCGTTTGTTCTTAGTTACAAACAAAACGTTCCATAAATGTTTCCAAGCATGAATACTGAAGAAAATGAAAAAAACTATGCAGTACCAGAGGAAATAGAGGAAGCAGCTAAGAGATCTATCCTCGATCAAGTTTACTTTTAGTGTTAAAAGTTTTTTATGTATATTGTAGACATACTTCCCAATGTTTCCAAAAAATATAGGCCCATTTAACGACTTTTTCAACTGAACAGTCGATGTGGTACTAGTATATGGTATTGACATTCATAATACTAACATAGAAAATGACCTAATTGGTCCTAAAAAATACCCATTTGGTAGGTACTATAAGAAAAAATGCCAATCGGCAAACAGGATTTAGTAAATTACTCGGTGAAAAAAATGAATGTGAAGAACCAAAAAAGTGTCAGAAGTTTTTTTAAACAAAACTTTCCTCTGATTCAATACATTATTAAACCATTGGTAAAGAAGCATGCTATTCTGTATGTTTCATTTAAATTTTCTTAATCAAATTTGGTGATAACGTCATCAATCTTTTAGTGGGGACAAGAACACCAACTGTAATAAGTACATTGTAACACTAATAACAATCATATTCCCCGAATTGCGGCAAATTAGATACGTCGTTTTTGCTTTAATCTGTAAATTAAAATTCTATAAATAAATGAGTAAATTAAAACGAATTAAATATTTATCCTCGACTAATTTAACAGAGTGATTGGTTAAAACATACACGCTGCATAGCAACGGACCTCAATTAATCGCGATTCACTTTTATTTCGCTTTTCATAAACCGGATCTAAACTTAGAAAAACATGCTATTCCACCTATTTCAAATTGTATCTAAATTCTAATTGATTTACCGTGTCCAGGGCAACATAAATTGTAACACTTTGTTGTACAATTCCGAATTCTTCTCCAACAACCAACATGTGTAAGATTAATACAGGTGAATTAATAAACCAAGATATGGAAGGCTATTATTTTAGACGTTTTAAAATTTATTTTTCTTAGCAAAATTTTAAGATGACGTACTCAAATTTTTAGTGGTAATGAAACACAAATGTTAATTATAGTTTCATACCACTTCTACAAGGTAATCATCACTTCAGAGTATTTTGTTGGTAGCTTTGAATACATACCTAATAAAACAGCAAATAAACAAAACCGGGCGAATTTTCATATTCTAGGAGTTATGAAATCGCGAAAAAACATAAACTCGCCATTCGTAAAATGGATTTCAACACAATAGTCCACAGCTCACGCTTGGAAAGTAAAAGTAGTATTTTTTTTATTTTATCTTTGAAAAAATTGAATTTCAATAAATGAAATGTTGACAGTTTTTTACTCAACTTGTTAAAAATTCCAATTTCGAGAACTACTAAAAAAAATTCAATCAGCTGACCTTGCAATAACATTGGCTTGATTTACGTTATTCTAATAGTGAAAAGCTGGACGAACTTTAAAATAATAACTTGCTACCAATGTACAAAGTACATAAGTATCATCACTGTCGATACCTACCCCAGTAAAAACTATTGTTAATTTTCTTGTTCATTTTAGATGGTATAAGGTATTAAAATCGTCCAATTAACTCATTCAATTCAATTTTAAGTTTTGTAAGTATCAAAGTAGTTTCTGAACCAAAATTTTTGTTATAATTGAAGTTTGAAATAGGTGGCGGCGATAAGAAGAAGGATCAATAATGCAATTAAGAAAAAAACTACAATTATTAATGTTCAAATGTGCATCCATTTGGTTCATTACAGGCTTATAAAACGCCATAACAACGATGGCTTTATTGTGTGTAACATCTTTTCACTACCACTGCATTTTCCGCTTGTGTTGGATATAATAGTTTTTCATGACCCCAGAAGTAGAAATCTACCTATCAATTTGTGGGCCCTGTTCTACCATTATTAAGTATGTTGTTGAAATAATTAACCACATCATGATGGTGGAGCACCGCCTGGCATGTACCATAAGTCATTCTTCCGAAGAAAGTTGAGAATTGTTAACATTTAAGCGCTTTGGTAAACGAAATGGTTCGACAATTTGATTTCTGTAAATTGTTGGTCCATCTAGGTTGTGTCAAAAGAGATCGTTTATGAACCAGTAGTGAAGATTTCGAAGATTTAATGCTCCATTCCGAGAAAAATTTGATTCATCCAAAACAAAAAATCTAAAAATTCATTGCACGAATGCTTCAATTTGGATCTTCATTCATGAAGTTTTTGAGCTTTTAAATAGTTAACAAAAATCCAACAATTCTTTCAAATAATTTTGGCGCTTACCTTAGCATCGCTTTGGCTATGGCGATAACATATTAAAAACCTGTATAGACGTAAAAAGCCAGTGAACAATTATTATACAGGTTGGCTACTGAAACTGAGTGATTAAACTTCAGGCAGATTTCATGATTCAAAAGTTAAAGAAAGTGGTTGTGCATAACAGGTAATAATGTCGAATTACTTGATTACTTGTGAAACTTTTTTTTAATAAAAGCTAGACATGAATCATTTTGAGTTCAACATGGTGAGTCATCAGAATCTGACAACGGACTGTCAGTCAGTAGCGTAACATGCACACTTCAGAAGGGGATGTTTTTGTAAATTTATTTTGTTATTTTTTTTAAATCGCAACAATAACACAGGGAAACAAACTTAAGTGAACTGGTAAACACCCCTTAAATTTGAAAGTGGACTTGTCCCGACCGATTTTGTCCTTTTACGCAGTTTTACAGCTGTGTTGATCTTAAGAGTGCACAATGTCTACTGAACACGTTTTTGAGCTTCATGTACTACTTACGTGGTGGTAAGTCTTCTATTAATTTGTAAGTAGTTGGTTTGGTCCCTATCCATTTCTTTGAGCACCAAGTATAGCACAGATAAATAATGCCCCACATTGATCCAAAGAACGCCAGTAAAGTACAGACGACTCCTAATACTACATACAAGATACTCCAACTACAATCCGAATCTTCGCCTGTTTTTAAATAAACTTTAAACAAATCTTGCATCCAAAAAGCTTCGCACTCGCACTTTCGAGTTTGTTCTACGCAAACTCCATGTCCTGAACAACTATTCTGACATACTGCAGTTTGCAACTTCGCTACAGAAAAACCCAAAAGTCCTGCATCGACTCTGAGTTTTTCGCGTAAGTGTTGCACAATATCGTTTGCCGGATAAGGTGTACCGTCTGGATTTTCCACATAGAAAGTTATCATAGCTTTTCCTGAGCCCACTTCCGGCTTAACATGGCGTACCTAAAATGAATATAGAATAGCTGTGTGCGAAACGAACTATTAAAAAATTGTTAAGTACCTTTAATCTTGAACCGTCAATAACAAGCAAGGCCAGTTTTCCTATCAAAGTATCGTACTGAGCTTGAGTCAAGTGCTTTGCATTAACGTCTATAGTAATTTCAACGAGGTACAACAACTTCGGATCATTTTTCACAACGAAAGTAACAGTGTCAGTATCCGTCAATCCCTGTTCGTCAAACACTGTCAAGTTGAATATATATTTTCCAGCAATAACATCCGTCAGGATAAGAATTGCAGATTTATCGGAGTCTTCGGCTATATTTCCCATTGCCAAAGACTTTTCGTCACGGGTCCACTTCCACTTCACAATGGCCCAGTCATCTTTAGATTTCGTTCCATTAAGGTATACTGCGTTTCTTGGCAGTTCTACTTCAAAATCACCTCCACCATCGGCTTTGGGCTTCTGATTCACGTCTGAAAAAAAAAAAATTACAAACAAAAATACAACTTATTAATTAAGAATATTACAATTTCATTAATATACAAAATAAAGATTAATTATTTTAATTATGGCTGAAACATTAAAGAATAAGTAATATTTTATTTTCAAACTTGATAATTTCAAAAAACAAAGATAAAATAATCAAAACTACGAAAATCCACTTTTGTTTTAGGAAATTCAGTGCATTTACATATACTGGCTAATACAGTAACTGTAATTTAAAACACTAGTGACAGTTGTAACTTAAAGTTTGAATTTAATGCTCAATTATAAAAATTATATTAAACTCTCGCGAGTACGCTAAACTGACTCCAATCTTGGTTACTTAAGGATCGAAGACACTACGGCTATATAATTTGGTGACCAGTACAAGGTAACTTTAAGCACACGCTTGCCACGATAAAGTAGCTCTGTCTTGGATGACGTCAACGGTATCGGCTGCTATTTACGGTCTCTGGCGATTATTAATAATAATTAGTGGTGGGACATTACAAATGTTACGCTGTTTAGAACACAACAGATGTTATCCCTGCAAATAGCTGAAATATAATATAGCAGTCTTACATAGGATTATGACAGCAAGACGATATTATACGTTGTCAAAACTACTTGTAGAACATATGCAACAAATTTAAAACTATATATCATTTCTTGAACAGTACACGCATTTGAAGTACAACGTCTGCATAGAGAAAACCGTTATTCCAAAGATGTCGATTTTAGGTCGTTCGAAACAATTGTGGTAACCAAAGCACATTATTATTTCTGAGGGTAATCTAAAAAGGTATTGTTATGGAATTCATTTAACGAATAGCTCACTAATTTCACGTTTTCTCAACATTTCATAGGTGATAAAAAAGTATGTTCCCTATTTCCGTCAGTCTGTCGGCGATTTTATTAGACGAGGAATCTTCAAAATTATTTAATTAAATAAATACATCCGGAGTTACCACTATGCATTCAATAAAGACTTTCACTTTTTTGGTTTTGCCACCTTGTACTGGACATAATAGAATCGTTCTTAAGAAAATAGGAAAATTATACGAATCACTTTGAGGATACTTACTATAGATTTTTACTATACAGTTGAACCAAATCTTACCAATGGGGGCGATTGAGACAAAAAATTGAAAATATTGAAGTTCATGGTACTCTAAAGACATATGTTATTCCTGCTGGGGAAAATATAGAAGTAAACTTTTTGAGACCCGAAAATTTAAAATCTGAAGGATTTGATCAATAGGTTAAGAAAAAATGTTCTAACTATAAATTGCTATAAGAATTATTCTGAAATTAGGAAATTATGCAAGTCAAGGGTTAAAAAGGATTATAGTGATTATAAATTTCGGATATTCAATATTCGTTAAGTTAGTGTCACAGAAATGCGTGATCTGGGCGTCATTACAGACTCAGGTTTAAGTTTTTCTCAGCATAGACAGTTTGTCATTAATAAATACAATAAAATTCTTGGTTTAATGTAGGTCGCAAAAGGATTCTCTTAAATTAGTGTACTGCGCTGTTGTTCGGTCAATCCTTGAGTATTCCAGTTTAATACGGCCGCCTCAATAGGTCACTCACATTAGAGAGCTTAAGAAAGTCCAGAACAAAATTTTGAGAATGTTTACATGGAAGAGGGGTCTTTATAGGGATATGTATTCATACCAACAGGTTAGAGAATTAATAAATATAGATACGTTAGAGCGTAGACGAACTATCATTGATCTCACGTTGCTTTTAAAGTTTTTAGTGGAAAAATTAGATACTCAGAAATACAATTTTTTTTTATTTTCTTTAAACTGTCCTACTCGTTTCTTAAGAAGTTCTCCGATTTTTCATACCGAAAGACACAGGATCAACTATGGCTTCTCCGCACCAGCTACAAGAGTAGTCAGAACTATTGTTCAGAGTTTCAAAAATTCAGCAAGGAACATTTTATTTTGAATAGTAGGTGCTTAATTATATTAATTTATTGTTTTCGGCTAGGGTAGGTAAAGATTTAGCACATCAGTTGATTTATGTATTTATTTATTCATTATAGAGTGGAGTAATTACTAAGTTGTGTAAATTGCATTGTATTGGGAATATTGTAGAAAAGGGGGAATCCCGTAAATAAACATTTTATATTTTATATTTATATTTAATTATTCTTCCCTGTGATCGTTTTCATTTGAACAGATGGACGGTGCACAAGCCCGTACTTTTTGAAAAATGATATTTCCAAACATCTTTTAAGTAAGATACCTAATGAAAAATCCTCACGATACTTGTGAATGTTGTAAAATTTTAGGTATATTTATTCGGACATTAAGGCACCTGCTGAGACCAAAAATGTACCGTTGGGCACCAAGAGAACGTGGTCGCACTACTAAAGTAAAAAATCTGCAATAAAGTGTCTTTGGTTTTTTTTTTTTTTTTAATATATATAATTCATTTCAAAGCCTATTTTGTTTCGCGCACAGCCTGATAAAGGAATCCTAATGATCTTTTTTTTTTTGATAGTCTAAAATATCTATTCTTTACCGTTAAGGCTTCCGTCTGCTTTGGTTTCATCCTATCTTAAATACAAACGGAGCATCATTGCTTTAAAATCCAGTCTAGAGGACCTCCTAATTTATATTCACGTCTAGTGTGTAGTGCAAAAAAAAAAAAACTATAAGCTTGACCAATTTTTAGATCACACTTAACGTTGCGTTCTGAGATAGGAGGTACCTCGAAAAAAGTATCAGCTTTCTTGTGATACCACTTCTAAGCTTAAAAAATCTGCAACTACTGTAAACAACTTCAGAAATCTTGTTTTAAAACTAAAATGTGGAATCGTCATTTCTGTGCAGTGCGGGTAGATGAAGATAGATTATGTATTGTAGCAACTGTCCACCAGATGGTGCTGGTTAACACTCAAACATTTTTTGGTGAAAATATTGATATCAGTATTTTCGGTTACAATACCGTTTCATTGGTGCCGTTTTAATGTCGATTTCAAAATTCACTTGAAAATCCCTACTAGAAAACTCAGTAACACGACCAAAAGTTTTACCACGTAAATCCCTATGGCCAGGGTTAAAAAAAAACACTATAAGAAATAATATAGTATAAATAAAATTATTAAAGTTATTTAGACAGAACGATCTAAGGACAGAACATTCTCCGCCCATGAAACAGAAATAAATCTGTTTAATACTACATAATTATTTTGAATTATCTGAAAAAAAAAACTAAAATCCATATAAAACCTCACTTTTTCAACTATTTAATAATTCTTTGAAAAGTTGTTATGGAGTTTTTGGTGGAGATCAAAGAAATAAAAAAATTATGCCAATGTTGTATAATCAACCAAAGCCGACATACGTAAGAATAAAAAGAAAAGATTCAACAACAAGTAGAAAACGTATTATTTTGTACATTTTGAATTTAATTTACTCAGCAAAATGGTAGATAAAGAAAACGTCATCCAATTTTGGTAAAGAAAAACAGAAGAAATGTTATTAACACCATAATTCCAACCCAATTTCACAGTACTCATTTATAAAAAGGAACCTGTTACAACATTTTCCTAGGTGACACTCGAGAAATAGAGAAATTTATAAATTTCAGAGCAACCGAATTTTGTACTTTCTAAAATAAACTTTTAATGTAAATTACATATGTAGAGTTAACCCATTACTTAATATATTAACGAGTTACAGGAAATAGAACTTTTTTTGCTGTAAATTTGCATCATTTTTTTTTTTATTTAAAACCATACATATGTTTTATGTATGTCAAATTTATACTTTTTACTTTCCGAGCGTAAACTAACGACGTATTGTAACAGGGTCTGTCTAAATAAACTTAGAGCATTTTTTCTATGGTTCTGTTCAACTTTCTGGTGCAACCAGGTATAATGTTAGAATGTTACAGTATATCATGGGCCCGAATTTACAATAACATTATGTCAAATACATGGAAAGTATAATGCATTATTAATATGAAGTCAATCAAGAAGAAACTGAAAGTTGAAGAACCATAAAAAAAATTATTAAATAACTGGGAACATGTTTCATCATTTGAGCAGACACAAACGTTGTACTAATTTTTACACATTTCCTTCAGATTTCGTCTTTTTCAAACAATAGGTATTTGTCAATTTTTTTCCAATGCCCACTGGATCAGGTTGTTCTGTTAATAAAAATACTACTACTCATCTAAAATCTACCCGTAATAAATATATTCAGGTTTTTTTAATCACTCTAGTGTATGCACATTATCTCATAAAATTCTCGTTTGAAATTCAACACTATCAAACCAGGAAATTTTAGTTCTTCTTCACTTTATTCTATATACGTCAGTGTTTATGGGATTATGAAAACTGGCAAAGAGGAAGGTGAGAAGCCTAATACCTCTCGCTGCTGGGTACCGACAATACTTTTACGTGCGATACGGTATACGGTATAGTAGAAACAGTGTGTCTGTAAGCAGGTATACGTTTCTACCAGTCCTTATCTGCGTACAGTGTAATTTATAGTTAAAAAATTTAACTCATTATGCAAAAATTTTATGATTATTCAGTATAAAAATGAGATATTTATGCCATCAAATAGAAAAAAAAATGTTTTTCTTCTATGGTATTTTTCCACGATTTCTTGTTTTCTGTTGATTTTGAATAAACACAAATTAAAAAAAAAAGAGTCACCTTAAACTGCAATATTTTGAAAAGATTTAAAAATGAAGTAGAAAAATCTGAACTATAAATTTACGTCCTGTTAATTTACAGAAATTATTTTAATAACATTTTTACCCTATCAGCAATCATTTAGATTACCTAGGATTTACAAATAACTGACATTTTATACAGTTTCGTTTATGATTTCGAAATTCGAAATAGAGCATATATCTTAATTACAAGAACTTAAAAAAATACTAGTTCATATTCCCTTGACCTCTTTATTTTTAAGTAAACTTAAAATGCAGTTTCGTGCAGTTATTCACCATTGGA